ACTATTACTTTTCTGTAATTGAATGTCTACGACATGAAAAATATCTCCTTCTACACTATTTACATATCGTCGCTGTCCAAAAAAAAATTAAATAAACAAAAAATCTCTATTTTTTGTGATTTTTACTTCTCTAAACCTGAGGCAACTCTTATGTTTGTTAACAGTAAAATGTGCAGGGTGGCTCCAGGAGCAGCGTTGGGAACCTGTGACCTAAAACAAAAACACATTTGTCTGAAATAATGGACAAAATCAGAGACGTTAAGACTTGGAAACAAGCTTTAGATCCAGCATATAAAAGTTTGATGACCCCTTTATTCCATTTACAGTCAAAACAGCCATTAAGTACAAGTTACTCTTTCCTCAGCATCAGGAAAAAAAAATGGTAAACACATATTTAACAGTAATATAATTACCCAGAAGCCTCAGCAACTAAATATATATCAACTGTGTGAGAGTTCAGTGAGTCACTCTTTACCCTTATTCCGGCTTTCATTCTTTTCAGGAGACTCACTTTCAGCTCCTCAAAGAATCTGCAGACACACCTCCAAAGTTCAGTCTTAGAAGCTGGTTGATCATTTTCTGAAGTAATCAATCACATTCAGTGGTGTTAAGGTCTGGACTCTGGGGTGGTCAGTCCATTGTTCATTTCTTATTCTTTGTTTGATGTGTCTGTCTCCTTTTCTCAGTGAGGTTCTTCTTGACAGCTACACATCCTTTCAGACCCACAGCGCTGAGTCGTCTTCTCACAGTGGAAGGATGGACAGAAACACCTGTGGATGTTTTCAGATCTGAAGCAGCTTGATTTTCTCCTCTCTCTCAAAGATGAAAGCTTTAAGTGCTGTTTATCTGATGGGGGCAGTTTTGGGGTCTACCAGGGTCTTTCAGGTGGTTGTTAGGAGCCCCATTTTCTCTGTAGCTTCAGTTTTGGAAGCTCCTGTTTTTTTTCATTTTTACTTCCTCCTTCATTATGTAAGTGGATTATATTACATCTAATCTCCTCAGAAATGTCTCCTGAGAAATGAATGAATGAACCTGTACTTAGTGGCTGTTTTTCACTTCAAATAGGCAAATGAAGAGTGGCCTGATTTGCACTTAGCAGTACAGAAGAATCTATGAGTATTCATTTAAAATCAGATAAGACAATGGCACAGATCAAATTAAAAAGATTAAAAAAAACCAGAATAGACGTAGAATTTTAATTAAACGCTAAATTAAAGAGATACGTTTCCAGATGTTTATTAAAAGTGAGCTCTGAGCTTTACTGTCTAATAAAAGCTAAACTGAGCTCCACAGTTTAGAAGCAGAATAATAGAAAGAGTCTTTCCATGTTTTCTGTATTTTACAGAAGGTGTTTGCAGAAGGTCAGTATGGTTCTTCAAGGGTTCTTTAGTAAAGAAAATGGTTCTATATAGAACCATGAACACTCAAAAAACCCTTTGCACGATTAAAGCGTTTTTCAGATTGATTACGAGTGTGTTTTATATATATATATATATATATATATATATATATATATATATATATATATATATATATATACATATATATATAGTGAAACAGGATGTTTTACTTTATATCTACAAGTATTATTATTACATATTATATTTTAAATTACAGCTGTACATTATTTAACATACAGTTAACATTTTTAACACATATATTATTATAAACATTTAGAAATTAACTACTACTTAATCTGGAAAAAATCAACCAATAATATCTTAGAATGAATGTGTGTAAACCAAGAATCTTCACTGTATAACTATAATTATATATCTATAGATATTGAATTTTTCACTATGACTACACATTTATTTAACAACATGGTACATAAACAACTACTACGAATTGATGCAGTACAAATTAAACCACTACTAATTCAAAAAATAAAAAAACAAATATTTTACAAAATAAATGTAAAAGGATGTTTCACTATAACTTTATATGTTGCACTATAGAACTATAGTTATAGTTTTCTTAACTAAAATTATCCATTTCCTTAAAAATATAGTATATAAAAAAATTTACTAAAGATCTGATCTACTACAAATTTAACTACCACTAAATCAGAAAATATATTAAAAAATAACTCAAATATTTCATTAAATAAAGAGGATGTTTCACAATATAACTTTTATATAACTATATACATACATAACTATACACTATATAACAATAAAACTATAGTTGTAGTATTTTAACTATTTTAACATACATTTAACACTTCTAATAACTATCTAATATGAACTGATCTAAAAAGTGTGTGTGTGTGTGTGTGTGTGTGTGTGTGTGAACTCACCTGTTGTTGTTTCCGCAGGTTCAGGATAACGGGATACACTGCAGCGCTGATGAAGAACACATCTCACTCTTCACCGCGATACACACTCCCCGTCTCCTCATACACACTCCTCACAGTGCTCAGCGCTGCGTCATCACTCCACTCCACACAGCACTGAGGACGAGAGAGCAGCAGGTAAGATGTAGAGAGGAGGAGGAGGAGGAGGTGGTGGGGGGGGGGAGTGGGAGGAGACACTAGAACTTATGTAGACGTCCTCAGTCCGGGTCACCTGTGGTCATCCCAGAGGATCCCAGTCCAAATAATACACTCCATTCTCATCTTTAACTCCTCCTTCGAAAGTTTACACCCAATTAAAAAGCCTTTATACTCAAAATCTGGACGATGTAAATTCCTATTGAACGTGACTCGGAAGTGTTGAGCAAATGTTAAAGGCCTGAATGGACATCATGTTTCAAGCATGGGATGTTAAATTGATTCACACATTAATGCACAAATAAGATTTCTGATGTATTTTAATGATTATATTTTATATAAAGTAATATATATTTTTGGTAAAGTGGAGCTGCAGTCGGACAAAAATACAGCAGGGATGTTCCGAACGATACTGAAATATCGATACTTCCGATTCTGACGTTTCTTTTTTAAAAATCGATCCTCACCTGACGATATCGATACTAGATGTTCTCTTTAAGCAGTAGACAGAATGTGTATTTATATCATTGTTTTTGGAAGAAAATCTTGTATCTCCAAAATAGTAACTTTACAGGAGAAGGAAAAAGCACACTTTACTTTTAATGTAAGTCAATGGAACCGGCTGTTTCTTTTAGTCCATTCTTCATGAAATTCACATACAATGTAAAGAACAACAGACATTTTCAAATTATGTCAAAAACTGAAAAACAACAAAAATGGAGATACAAGGTTTTGTTCCAACAACAGCAATAACCATGACCAGCTATAACCAGCAATGACCATGAACACAAGTTCTCTGCAGTGTGAAATCGCTCTTCAGATTGATGGAGAATGTGCTGTAAATGGTTATAAATAGGACCCTTTTTGAAAAGATTCTATGGAGCACCAAAAAGTTTGACGTCATAACAACAGAAAAACCCTTTTTGGTGCTATTTAAAACCATTTTCAAACAGGTTCTATATAGAACCATTTACAGCACATTCTCCATCAATCTGAAGAACCCCCATTGGTGCTATATAGAACCATCTACAGTACATTCTCCATCAATCTGAAGAACCCTTTTTTGGTGCTATATAGAATCACCTACAGCACATTCTCCATCAATCTGAAGAACGCTTTTCAATGCTATATAAAACCATTTACAGCACATTCTTCGTCAATCTGAAGAACTCTTTTTGGTGCTTTACTAAAGAAAAGAACCATGAAAACTCAAAGAACACTTTGTGTGATTAAAGGGTTCTTTGCATCATTATTGGGCTTCAGTTGTATAAAGCATAAAAAGGGTTCTTCCATTGTTATGATGTCAAGCTTGTAATAATAGAAGAACCCTTTTCAAAAAGGTTCTACATAGAACCATATAAACACACTCTCAATCAATCTGAAGAACCATTTCATGATGCAAAGAACCCTTTAGTCATGCAAAGGGTTCTTTGAGTGTTCATGATATAGAACCATTTTCTTTACTAAAGAACCTTTGAAGAATCATCATTTTAAAGAGTGTAATTTATTAAATTATTATAGAATAGTAATTCATACTAATGTAAAGGCTTCCGGATATCATTTTAAACGTCACTTACAGATTCTCACTTTAGAATAACAGAGAATTCCCTCTTTTAAAAGTCTCTGTATCAGTATCTTTTACAGCAAGCTTAAACTTCAGTTTTCTAAAATTATGAAAACTAAACGTAATATATATATATATATATATATATATATATATATATATATATATATATATACACACATAAAGTGTGAAGGTTATAGCACATTTTATGTATTATATTTTGAATGTGTTAAAACTTGAATAAAAATTGTAAACAAAATTGCATAATAAATACAATATTTAATCTGCAGGGAACTTATTTTCACTGTCATTTGACCAGAGGGATTTTCCACAAAGCAGGATTTCTCAGTTTAGCTGGATAACTTAAGCCCAAAGTCAAGCCTGTCCAATAGGAAGAGCTGAGGGACATTCCAATTGGACAGTCCTCAGTTTTGGGCTTAAGTTATCTGGAGTATTTAAACTTTTGCACACGACTATAACTGCTACATATGAATGTTGTTTAAAGCAGAATCACTTACCTGTTTAAACCTCCACGTCCAACCACTCTGAAAGGCTTTGTTTACAACTCAACCATTTAATTATGAAGGAATTTTGAAATATCGGTGGAATTCCCCTTTTGAGTTCATCCTTATTTATTTATTTCTGCTTTGTTTTCCTCTCTGCCTTTAAAATGCAAAGTCCTGCCTGTCACTTCTCTGTTAAATGATGGGCAGCTTCAGTGGGAAAACACGAAAAACCATCTTCCTGTTACAGGTTGTCATTGCAACAAACTCAACGGACCAATCACAGCGCTTCACTCTGCTTACTCTGAACCCAGTGGACCACACGCCGTCCTCCGCTCTGCTAATTCTGAACCCAGTGGACCAATCATAAACCTCCGCTCTGCTAGCTCAGAGACGCTGCAGTGAGATGATGATACAATAACAATTACACAGGAGAAGGTAGTAAATGTTATAAAATATTTATTTTAATTCTTTATCTTTGTCAGCAGACAGTATTTCCCCCAAAAGAAAACAAAACATAATGAACTTCTGATATGGATCATCTAGCCTAATAAAGAAATGAAAATAAATAATTGAGATTTTGCCTTAAAGCTTCCATATCATTTTAAATTGTACATAAATTTAGGTACCCTGGGAAAATAAAAAAAAAAAGAAAAAAGAAATCATTCACCATTAATGTTCAGATATGTGTCATATTACACAAACACAGGAAAAAGAAAACTGAAAAGAAAATCGGAGGAAGAGATATATAACCCAATATTGCATAAACTGAGAGAAATACATTCTCACACAGTCAGGAGAGAAAACATTTTGTAGCACTTTATCTTCAGCCTTTAGTTATAACATCTGTTCAGGGCTGTCAACGTTACTCCATCCGCAGGTCATCATAAAGCTGCGTTTAGCTGTCTGTAGATTCTCCACAAGGGGGTGCTAGTAGCACTCAAATTGCTTGTGTGTGCAAGTTGGAAAGGGAGGAAACCCACACCAGCAGGATCTCAATAAAAATAACTCAGTGAGTGCATTTACATGTACTTAATGATCTGATAAAAGCAGAAAATCAGATTTTGTCAGTAGTCCGATCAACATATGCACTTGAGTAATCAGATAATGGGGAAACTCCGGGCCTACATGAGTCAGGCAGTAATCAGATTTCTGCTTTGCAACCAGCCAATACACTCACAGAAAAAGTTGTGATGTAAGCGTAATGTAAAACTCAAACTTCATGCCGCATCTTCATTTTATAAAGCATTGCATAACGTAAACACACTCAGTGATTTATACTGACAGACATACATCTGTTATTAAAAGCACTCTAATCTTTTCATTTTAGCTAATATTATTTTGTTCTTCACCCCCACAGTGCTGAACTAAAGAAAGCACCAATAAAAATGCTAACACTGCTAAAAGCACAGAACCTGTTAGCTAATAATTAGCATTAGGCAGAAGGGAGCAGGCAAATTCATGGCTACAACATTTGACCATATTAGCATCATGTTATAAATCAAGGCTTTAGATAAAGTGCTACAGCATAACAGTGAGAAAGGAGTAACTGAGGTAAGTATTTACACATTACACAAGTATTTCACCATCATAGTGTTTGGTTATGGTGCTATCGTGTTGGGTAGGAGTTCCTGTGTCCACACAAAGAGCTTTTTAATCCTTTTTTCAATGTCTTATCTGCAAAAACAGTGATGTTGAGCTTGATGTTGTCCCACAAGCTTAGCGCGGTCAACATCTGCAGATGGAAAATCAACATTGAACACACACAGTGAAGGTCAGGCAGACCTAAAGAAACGGCCAGCGTTATTGATAAACAAACTGATTGGTTCGTTTTTGAAGCAGCAGGCAGGTGTGATGAGATCAGAAACACATTCCTGAATGCTTGAAGTGCAAGACTTTCTGTGTAGAGCCTCGTAAAAAAGCAGCCTTGTGTGGACACAAGGTTTAAATGTCATTAAACCGTAAAGACGCACAAGAATGGAGAATAATGATGAAGTCCGGATCTTCTGACGGACATTAAACACAATATCTGTTCCACACACACACACACAGTCAGTCTGTCCTCTCTCACAAACACACACTCACGTTGATCTGCTCACATCTGATCTCTGAGTTTGGCAAGTCTCTGAGAAAGCTCATCCTAGAGAGAGCGAGAGAGAGCGAGAGAGAGAGAGAGAGAGAGAGAGAGAGAGAGAGAGAGAGAGAGAGAGAGAGAGAGAGAGATTGGATATGTTAACTAGGGTCCAAACAGTAGTTACATCACGCATACAATTATGCATTTTGCAGACAATCTTATCCAGAGCCAGCAGCTTGTCTGGATATAGTATTTTAGAGCCTTTACGTCCAATAGGTTGTATGAATATAGCCTGCTCTAGCATTTAGATCCAGCAGCTTTTCTGAACATAGCCTGTTAGAGCCTTTAGGTCCAGCAGGTTGTCTGAACATAGCATGTTAGAGCTTTTAGGTCCAGCAGCTTGTCTGAACATAGCATGTTAGAGCCTTTAGGTCCAGCAGCTTGTCTGAACATAGCATGTTAGAGCCTTTAGGTCCAGCAGCTTGTCTGAACATAGCATATTAGAGTCTTTAGGTCCAACAGGTTGTATGAATATAGCATGTTAGAGACATTAGGTCCAGCAGCTTGTCTGAGCATAGCATGTTAGAGACATTAGGTCCAGTAGCTTGTCTGAACATGGTATATTAGAGTCTTTAGGTCCAACAGGTTGTATGAATAAAGCCTGTTCTAGCATTTAGGTCCAGCAGCTTGTCTCAACCCACTATACTACACCAACTGCATATGGAAAACACTCCAATACTTAGTTAAATACTGATATGTTTATTTAGACTGATATAATTGTCATTGTCATTTGTTAGCTGTGAACTGCTAAATATGATTGTCTGCTCTTAATGGTTACACTTCTTAAACTCAAATAAAACAGCAGAAATAGACAAGTGAACAATAATATAAATATTGCAGAACCAGGGGTGGGGCTACACAAAATTCTCTGCAGTTTTATTTCTTGTTATTTATACTTTTTTTATTAGCTTTTTCTTTTGGCTTTAATAAAGGCTCTAATTATCAGGGCATAATATATCAGTTGATATACTGACCCAGAGCAACAGAGGTATGTATATGCATTCATATTTTTATGAAATTATGTTGTGTGTTTGGAAGTGCAGATGAGTTTCTATGTGTATGGGTGTATTATTACCTGTTCTGTGGACGCCACGCTGCTGGCCACTGTTCCAGTTTGTCCCTGTGGAAGCTCCATGTTGAGATCCAACCTACACAAATAAGAACACACACAAAATTGTCCGTTCACACGGCATTTTGCTAAATGTACAACTTATCTATGCAGCTACCTGTCTATATGCAGTGTACCAGAGCATTTAGGTCCAACAGTCTGTCTGAATATAGTTGTTAGAGCCTTTAGGTCCAACAGCCTGTCTGAATATACTGTTAGAGCCTTTAGGTCCAACAGCCTGTCTGAATATAGTGTTAGAGCCTTTAGGTCCAACAGTCTCTCTGATATAGTGTGAGAGCCTTTAGGTCCAACAGTCTCTATAAATATAGTGTTAGAGCCTTTAGGTCCAACAGCCTGACTGAATATAGTGTGAGAGCCTTTAGATCCAACAGTTGCTCTGAAAATAGTGTTAGAGCCTTTAGGTCCACAGTCTGTTTGAATATAGTGTGAAAGCCTTTAGGCCCAACAGTTTGTCTGAACTTAACATGTTCGAGCTTTTAGTTCCAGCAGCTGGCCAGAACATATATAGTATATTAGAGCCTTTAGGTCCAACAGCTTGTCTGAACGTAGTGTGTTCAAGCCTTCAGGTCCAGCAGCTGACCAGAAAATGGCATGTTAGAGCCTTTAGGTCCAACAGCTTGTCTGAACGTAGTGTGTTCAAGCCTTCAGGTCCGGCAGCTGACCAGAAAATGGCATGTTAGAGCCTTTAGGTCCAACAGCTTGTCTGAATGTAGTATGTTGGAGCTAGAGGATGACGTTGACTTTCTTACCCTGCTTCATCTGCCATCTCCTGCATCAGAGTGTCCACTTGGCTCTGAAATATAAGAACACACCTCTTACAAATTATGAACACAGAGCACCAATTCACATGTGTGTGCATGAAGAAGCCTGTATTATATGTGATATTATGCAATGATCATCATGTCTGTGTGTGTTACCTGTGGGGTTGTAAGTGTCGTTGTACTGCTCATGGTGTCCTCCATCTGTTGTGTCTGAACATCCAGAGTTTCAAACTGGCGCTCGAATTTGTCCATCAGGCTTGAAATCTAACCAATGAGAAAACAGCACAACTACACTGTGACCGGTGAAAGACTCGACCAATGAAAAGTGAGATTTACCCAATGAGGAGACAAACATTATATCAAAATTGCGTCTCCTTTGAAATACAAACTTCCTTTTTCTCCATTTCTCCTCGCATAGTTTCACCCACGCCACTCACCTTCTCCAGGTTCATGCTCTTCAGAGTTATGTCCATTCCCTTCACCACTCCTGCCATGGACTTAGTGACCTGTGGGGAAAAAAAAAGGGTCAAAGGGTTTACTTGCCTTTTCTCCATGTTTGTGTAGCATGTTCAATATAATAGAAGTTACAATAGTCTGCATGTGTGTATCTTATTCATAGTAGGGCTGCCACGATTACTGAACTGTAACCGATTATTTAGTCTAAAAAATGTACATATATTGAGTAAAAATGTTTTTGAATTGGCTTATTGATTAATCTGCAGTTTGAATGACAGACATGGGAGGAGCGATTAGCATTCGAGTTGCTTTTTCAGGTTCCAGGGGCTTCACTACACTCAATTTATTAAACCACATGCCCCAGTTGTTCACGTGCCCCACTATAATCACAGAGTCAATAAACAAAAAAGTTATAAATTTCCCCGCTTTAACTGCGATTTCTGTAGCCAGAACATTCAATCTAGGTTAAAATGGGAAAAAGTTGATACGCAAGCTATTAATTTCCACACTTGATCGCAGACTGAACAGCACAGCACAAACATTACGATCACACACATTCACAACAGACACTACATTTCCCACAATGCCCCAGCGTCTTTTCTTTGAACACTTTCAGTTTACATAGCCAGGCTGTATGACAACTGTTCTTAATATGGAGCCAGCAGCAGGTGGTCGCTGACATGCGTAAGTATATAACAGCGTAGCTATACATACGTTTGTCTATGTATGCTTCAGGAACTGAATTTAACGCACCAACAATAATGCTTTTTATTTTTAAAGGTTCCATATACAACATTTTAAACACTAATATAGCAGCAAACATTTACATTTTCTATGCAAAGATATAGCAAATTAATCCTGAGCAGAGAATGAAGTCGCGACCCCTTTGTGTGCGTGTGTATAATCCGAGCTGAGGCACCTAAATATAGTCTAGTTAAGGCACCATTTAAGGTGGAATAGGAAAATTCGAACAAGTAGCTGAGGCACCTGAATGTAGTCTAGTTGATGCACCATTTAAGGTGGAACGGGAAAATTTGAACAAGTAGCTGAGGCACCTGAATGTAGTCTAGTTAAGGCACCACTTAGGGTGGAACGGGAAAATTCTAACAAGTAGCTGAAGCACCTGAATGTAGTCTAGTTGATGCACCATTTAAGGTGGAACGGGAGAATCTGAAAAAAGCTGCCGAAAAAGAAGCTGACTTCAGCTTCATTGAGAGTTAAATGCATGAAAATGGATGAGGAGGTCGCTCCTGCCGGTCATGTGGGTAACATTAACTCATTTTTGCTGTTTCACAGTACCAGTAGGTCAGTATTGTTTTGTCCTGTTTGCGAATGTTTGTGAAAGCAACTTCACAACAGCAATCGTAATGACAGTTTGCTAATCTACAACCTGGCTATTGTTCTCCAGAATCATTTACTGCGCCTTTAAATGAAAGTGACATTGTACAGTTGGATAACTTCTCATTTTCCTAGCTTGTGTTATCTAACTGGCCTGAACTGATTATGCAAAAACAAAATCACACACAGTAGCATGTAGTTTTGTTGTCTCAAATTAATTATTTCACACAGAATTTAAATGTAAGCATCAGTAGAATGGCGAGATGACATGTCCAAAGCAAATAAGCCTGTTTGAGTATCCACATCAGTATCTGGCACAAATAAAGAACTTTTAATTGTGTATGTTTAGAAAGTTTCCTTGGTTAGAATATTTGATCAAGAAAGATTTTATTGCAGACTGTCTCTATGACTGACCAGCAAAGAGGCTGAGCTTTAGTCCAGTAATTTAGAGTGTGCCCCAGTATAGCCAGAAGTCCAGAAACAGCCCTGCAGCAATAGCGTTCACATCAGATATACTGTTGATCAGATACAGAGACAGAGGAATCTGACAGGATTTCTGCTTACCTATATAGCAGCGATAATATGGAACCAAAATGTGATGTAAATCTTTTTAAAATTTTTGTTTAGCCATGCGTGTTCATGGCTATTGTCAGCTATATGAATCAGCTAAAGCGCTTAGCTAAGCCTTTTCCAATTTCCAGCTAGCCTTTTGGTCCCACAACTTCCCTGAGTATTTTAGAGCCTTTAGGTCCAACAGCTTGTCTGAACACAGCATGTTAAAGTCTATAGGTCCGGCAGCTTGTCTGAACACAGCATGTTAGAGCCATTAGGTCCAACAGCGTTCCTGAACACTGTTTGTTAGATCCTTTAGGTCCTGCAGCTTGTCTGAACACAGCATATAAGAGCCTTTAGGTCCGACAGCTTATCTTAAAATAGCAAGTTAGAGCCTTTAGGTCCAACAGCTTGTCTGAAAACAGCATGTTAGAGCCGTTAGAGCCAACAACTTGTCTCAACACAGCATATTAGAGCCTTTAGGTCCAACAACTTGTTGGAACACAGCATGTTAGAGCCTTTAGGTCCACCAACTTGTTGTAACACAGCATATTAGAGCCTATAGGTCTGACAGCTTGTCTGAACACAGCATGTTAGAGCCTTTAGGTCCAATAGCGTTTGCTATTGAACAAGCTATAGGTCAGACAAGCTGTACTTGCTCATGGTAAATGTATGCGTTTGTGTACTTACCTTGTTCATAGTGACTGCTGTCTGCACTCTTGCTGCCACAGCGTCAACTCTGGCACTCATCCTGAGGAAGTTCACTGATTGGTTCTTCTGTCTGATGGCGTTTTCGGCGTGAATACGAGCCACCTCCATATTACCCTTTTGGATCGCCTAGGCAACCAAGACACAATGATTCTATGTTAATTTTTGTTTATACAACACCTGGCATTTATATAAACGCAGCTTAAAGTCAAACTGAAATCAAAATGCTACTTTTTCTTATTTATTTTTTTTTTGTTTTTATCTTGTCTGTGGTGACATGAAACACAACTTATCATAACATTTAAAAAGACTAAATTCTTGTTTTAGTGTAACCAAAACGTAATGACTTTTTCCCACGTCTAAAACGGCCACAGATTTTTGATGACATCACCATGCACCAGAGGGCGAGGAAAAATAATGATTTCCCATTCACCTTAAACATGGTTTGCAGATAAAAGTGTAAATAAAACAGGGTATAATAATAATGAAAACACAAAATTAAAAGAACTTTGCTGCTAAATAAGTTACAAAAAAAATCAAGAAAGTATTAAAATAGAGAAAAGGCGATATAAATAAACGATTGTTTAAACAAAGGAAAGAAAATGGTTCTATATAGAACCCCTTTGCATGATTAAATGGTTCTTTGCATCATGAAAGCATTCTTCAGATTGATGGAGAATGTGCTGTAGATGGTTCTACATAGAACTTTTTGGAAATTCGTCCTATATATAGCACCCAGGGTTCTTCTATTGTTACCATATTGACACTGTCACAATAGAAGAAGTCTTTTCAAAAAGGTTTAGGACTGTCTACAGCACATTTTCCATCAATCTGAACTCTTTAACTATGCAAAGGATTCTCTGAGTGTTCATGGTCCTATAATAGAACCGTCTTCTTTACTAAATAACTCTTTTTAAAAAGACTGTGGTGGTAATAATTTGTTGTCTCTACAAAAACACATATCTAGATATAAGAAATCCTGAAGCCAGATTATTTATCAGAGATCACACCAAATATTTAACTGTAATAATGGAAAAAGAAGAGATTGTATCTGAGACCCATATCTACTAAAACCATCTGTAATGGATACGTTACCATCCTGGCCAGAGTTAATGTGTAGAAACTAGATTTACTGGAGCTGAACAAATGCTGAACTGAGGCTTCGTCTCTGCGAGCAAATCAACTTACCTTTTTCACTTTCGCTTTCTCCACCTTCTCTTCTTTGTCGCATTTTTTGGAGTTTCGCTGCAACTCTTTGGCCGCGAACTTCAGGTTAAACAAATGCTCTGGAGTCAAAGGTTAAGGAGTTACAAGGAAGTACAGCTGAGATGCGCCTGACGTCATTAAACACACTGACATTTGAAAGCAGGACATATTAGTGTGTCAGGGTCAGTGTTTATATGTAACAGTGACTCAGTGGAGTAACATGAGCTCAGTGTACTTTAACAAAAGCGGGCAGGGAAGCCTGAACCCATACCCAAATAAAAGAACTATGACTTCAATGAATTAAGGACTCAAGTAGAAAGAAATGTTGGCAAAAAACAACCTAAACAAAACAAAAAAAGTGCTGGGTTCCCCTATAGAACTGCAGTGGATCTGTTTAGTCAGTCCAGCTTCTATCAGCATAGGGAGTGAAGTTTGTTAGGCTCTATTCTTCTCTTTTTTGGAGAAAAGAAGGCTAAACTTCCATAGTGAGAGGTGTGAGAAACAGTAAAGCAATTCAGGAGCTGAACCAACACAAGAGAATTAAATTACATATACCAATATACCAACAAACCACATGTAAATATAAACAAATATAACACACTTGAGTATAAGTTTTACCATTTAAAACAGCATATATTAATATAAATCAGGGGCGGGTAATATGGCGATATTTTATTGTTATTGTGATAAATCACACCACAATGCGCTTTCTGAATCATCAGTACTTTAAGAACATTGATCGACTAGATGTTTTTACAAAGAAAGCATGATTAGTCCTATTTAACTGAATGTAATGCAGTGCAGTATGTAAAACACTGAATAAATGTAGCACTACCAGTTCTTTTTTGTTTGTACCAACTTACCCAACATCAGAAAAGCTAATTACCATGGTGCATATTGTTTATGAAGAAAGGTCTTGAAGTACAGTGATATATTTTTGTCTTATCGCCCAACCCTACTGGAAAACAATACAAAACTGGGAATTATGCCAAACCGATGAGGCCGAGGGATGCAATGTCGAGCTACAGAACGCTGCAATAACATGACAAATAACATAGCAAAGGAGAAGTCAATCCATTTTTCTCAATTCCTGCATAATTTAACAGTTAAAATGTAAACCAAGTCATTCAACGTGGTTTGGTGTGAGATTCTCCGTTCTAGAGAGTCAGAACTGTTCACAGTGATGGTGATAGGAACCAGACGTCCACCTCTAAAAGCTCCCTCACAGAAAGTTATTACATGAAGTGGTTATGAATGTGCCGCCTGAGGCATTGACTTATTCAGCTTTTAGAAGATTTTGGCCTAAAACTTTTAAAATCTTTTTTTTTTTACCCCTAGAACGGACATTGTGAGACAAAATAGTTCCCAAAGAAAACTTATTTTTCAGATTTATCACTTTTTCTCAATCATTAACATACCATACAAAACTCAGAAGAATCGTGTAGGTTCACTGGTGATTTTGATAGTAAATAAAATGTCTGTATTTGTGTTGTAGTCATGGTGACCCCTGGTTCCTATCACCACCACTGTAAAGACATCTGAACCATTTCACACCAAACCACTCTGAATAACTGAATTTTTACATCAACAGCTGAGATATGCTAAAATTGAGAAAAATTGGTGTATTTCCCCTCTAAAACTCTAGTTTCAGGGTGGAATGCCCCTTTAAAGACACGCAACTGAGATAAGCAGACAGTCACCATCACTGTACTTCACTGCCAAACCCATCTAACCTGTAATGCAGGTGTGGACGTAAAGGCAGACACCACGTCACAGGAACAATCAGATTCACCAAATATGACCTGTTTATTTCATTTTTACAGACAGAAATTGTAATAAAAGTTATTTTTCTTGATCCTACAAAGTTATACGGACGCTAAGGTCAGTCAGGTGAACTCAGTCTGTCAACAAACCCCGGCAGATGTGGCCTGACACAGCAAAGTAGTATCTCTAAATCGATACGAGCCTGAAACTGGCTTCCTACCTGAATTCCCCGTTCCACCTTAAATGATACTGCAGTTACATCCTGGCAACCCTTACAGACTGCTGCGCCATTTAAGCCATTTAAGGTGGAACGGGAAAATTGGAACAAGAAGCTAACTTCAGCTTCGTCAAATCTGTTCCTGATCAGACACAAACACGTAAACAAATACAAAAACAGCGACACGGTGGATATTAGAAGGACAGAAATCCTATTATTTAAGATCAGGAATCGGAAAGTCAGGCCTACAGTTTCAGTCGGTAAACAAAACAAACCCTCAGTCTTGGTTTAGCGACGTTGCCGCCTCGGAGTGGGACGGTTTTCAGGCCTACCGAAGCCTCGACTCGACTCCAGCCGCCTTTTTACGAAAGGATACGCTCCATATTCGGCATGGTGCTCCTCTGAGATCAGACACAGCCCGACACGACAAACAGAAAAAGGGTTTTAAAGTGTGTGTTTTCCTCTTTCTGCACTCACTCCCTCACCCGTCGCTGACTTCCGTCTCCTCTGCGCAGCTGGAGTGACGACAGAGTCATGCGGTTGGGGTGACGTCATCGTCAGCGGTTCCGTTCAGCCAATAGGAATCGGAATCTCGAGTTCTGACTGTCGGCCACGCCCAAAGGGGAAATTTCATCCAGTGGTACCAGCAGATCTTTACTGTTTTGTCAGTGCTCGAAATTCAGTGGCTTTACTTAAATATAATTCTTTAAAATTCTGTGTTGTTCAATGCCAAATTTTACAGAGCCCCCCCTAAGAGCCCGTTTCACCGAGATGCACTACAGTCAGTGGTGGACAGCAACGAAGTAAATGTAATTCGTTTCTGTACATAAGTAGTTTTTTCGTGTATCTGTACTTTACTGAAGTATTTCCATTTTGGGCGACTTTTCACTTTTACTCCACTACATTATGAGAAATCTGTCGTTCCTTTTGGCTTCTGTGTGTATAAAAACGTAACATGTCAAAACAAAAGAAGCGCACAGCAAGAACACCAATCAGGGCACAGGGGTCACTTTGTTTTGAGCTTGTTTTGACCTGTTGGTCATACTGACCCAGTGCAGCACACGGTTCAACATCAGTGCAGCAGTGTAAAATTTTGGGAGAGTCTATTCAACATAAATGATGAACTAACCTAACTTTGTGTAAACAGACCACAATATAGAAATATGTACACATATGCAGTTGTGACTGATGTGTCTTTTTTCTGAATTTATACAAACACAATTTCATTTTATAGTAAATTTGTTTTGGCTAGTTTATGTTTATGAACAGAGACCTACAGATGCAGTTTAGTAAAGGAAACTCATTTGTGAATCTGAGTTTAAAGTTTTTATTAAACTTAAACTTGTAACTAAGTAATAAATCTTAAACTGAAACTTTGCTTGATCGCAAAAAGTTATTTTACAGCCACTTGGTTCTACCTAATGGAAACTGTTCGCCTTCAGTGTTTTGTGCTTATGATAATTTTAATAGACATCAGTGACACTAATTAATGACATTCTATTAAAAGATTGCTTTGCCAAGAGTGACACTGGAGTATTTTCACCTAAAATGAGTTAATGAAGCAGAGTCTTGTTAGAAAAACAGTAATAGGACACTAAAGTCATAATTAATCTTTTAGTACTTTTACTTCCGATACTTAAGTACATTTGAAGGCAAATACTTTTGTACTTTTACTCAAGTGGAGGTCTAAAGGGAGGAACTTCTACTTTTACTGGAGGAATATTTTACCTTGGGTATCTCTACTTTAACTCAAGTACTTCATTTGTGTACTTCGTCCATCACTGACTACAGTCCCCAACATGCACTGCAACATAGTGTGTGTTCTGAAGAAAGTATTAAAACAGAGAAAAGGCGATATTAATAAACGATTATTTAAACAAATAAAATAGGAAATATGAATTAAAGTTTTGAAAATTAAAGAAGTAATGCTAAGTGCCTGATGAATATTCATAGCATAGAATCCAAACAAATAACTGAGAATCCCTTTAATTTCCATGAATCACACATCCAGATCCAAGAGACCAGGAATAAAGATGCAACAGACACATGATGTGCACTCTCAAAAAAGATTGTGCTTCAAGTAAAGAAAACAGTTCTATATATAACCACAAACACCCAAAGAACCCTTTGCATGATTAAATGGTTCTTTGCATCATGAAAGGGTTCTTCAGAATGATGGAGAATGTGCTGTAGATGGTTCTATATAGAACCTTTATGAAAACCGTTCTATATCGCAAACAAAAAGGGTTCTTCTATTGTTACAACCCCTTTGGGTGCTATATAGAACTCATTTTTTTTTTTAAAAAAGGTTCTATCTAAGACCGTCTACAGCACATTCATGCACATTTCCCATCAAATTTTTCAGAGCCCCTAAGAGCCGTTTCATCCTGAGATGCACTACAGTCCCCATCATGCACTGCAACCATATGTTCTGACCCCCAACAACAATTTATGGGCCAGCGGTTACACTTAAAGAAAAGATGCCTGCTGTCTAATTTAACCAAATAGGCAGTTTTTAAAAACTACCTAAAACAATTCATTTTTATTTATAATTATTTGTTAATCAAGTTTTTAATGTCTATTTTCATGTTGCAGTTTTGGCATATTTTGAATAAACAATGGCCCATTGAGGTCATGGCAAAATGTTAAGTATGTAAAATGAAATAAAAACACAGCTGGCCCACAGATTTGCTGAGATTTTTTTAATATCAGTGGTTGAGTTTGGCCCTAAGGAGACATGGTGATTATTTTTTATTAAAGAGTGGCTATGAATTAATATATTGAGGCCACTTAATACTCATGGCTATAAACTTCGTCCTCAGTATAGCCAATAGATTACAATAAAGCAATTTGTGTCCTCAATATAGCCAAAATATTCATTTACGGCTTCAATATAGTACATTGTGACCTCAGTATCGCTGTTTTTGGCACAAAACCTTGTATCTCCATTTTTGTCATTTTTCAGTTTTTGAGATAATTTGAAAATACTGGTGTCACTTTAAGTTGTATGTAAATTTCATGACGATCGGACCAAAAAAAATGGTCAAAAATTACTTGGAAAACCATCTGGTTCCATTGACTTACATTTTTTTCCTTCTCCTGTTAAGTTACCATTTTGGAAATATGAAGTTTTGTTCTGACAACAGCAATATATTAATTGCTGGCCACGCCTTATTAAAAAATACTCACCATGTTGCTTTAGGGGCTCAGTAAAATTTCAATACCTGAGCAGTCGACTTATTTGAGTCGGTAAGTCAACAACGCAGTAGGTTCTGTTCCTACCAGGTAGATTTTTTCTCCTCAGTTCTCAACAGCATGATAAAATTTTGCTTTAGTATCGTAAAATAATTAACTACGGGCCTCAAACACCAACCGTTCTGCTCTTAAGAAGAAATTTCACAAGGATTCTCACAGTCACCAGTGTTTTCTTATTTGGATTTGTTCTTAGGTAAGAACAGAATCTACACATTCAAGAGCACAAAGGTGGGAACAGTTCTGCGCTTTAAGAACATGTCATGAATCTGACAGACTTTTTCTTAGGATCTTTCTCAAGAACACATTTAGGAACAAACTTAGGAAGATATTGGAGAATGAGGCCTAGTATTCTGTCAAAATGACTTGTTTTCTCAAAAATATTAACTTACTAGATCAAAATCAGGCCTTGGTTCAAGATTTTGACTTACTATGTTCAGATAATGACTTATTTCCTCAAAAGTGTGTCTTGGGGCTATTAAGATGAAGTTCTGATATGTCAAATGAAGCTAGATTTATGGAAAGAAAGCAATTATTTTGAGATAAGTCAGTATTTTGTTACTAAGTCAAAAATGTGAGAAAAAAGACAATTTTGACATGTCAAGAGAGAACACATCACTGTGAGAGACTATACTAAATTTTGACATATAGCTGCCAAAAAAAAAACTAGTTTTTTTTTCCCCCCTCTACCACGTGGGAGTCATAGCAGTCATAATCCGACACTCTCAGAAATAAAGGTACTAAACTGTTACTGGTTTGGTTCCCTCAAGGGTACATCTCAGTACCTTTAGTCAGGGAACATAACTGTAACATAATCCACTGAAATGATATGTTCTAAGCTGTACTGACTCCACACACCCCGCCTCTTCTCCAGGCTTTTATTTTACTGTTCTGTTTTAAAACATTCGGTTATGAAAAGGTACAAATACGAACTTTTCACCTGGAAAAACTTATTTAAGGTTCACAATCAGACCTTAAAACCACTTTGAGGGAACATTTACATTGTTTGTACCTTGATTTGCTGAATATATGTAAAGACAGTAGAAACAGAGGAAAGTGAGGAAAAAGAGGGAGAGTCTGAGTACAGCTATATAAGATTTTTAACCAGAGTAAGCAGTTTTACTCCTTTATTAAAAAAACAAAAAAACAAAAAACACGCAATCAGAAAATGTGTAGAAAAAGTAGACACTGACATACGTTTATTACATCTATCACCTCTTCATTTTCACCATCACCACTTGAACTGGCCCTGAACTACTTTGATCCATCACACTTGAGAGAAGAGGGGGGAAAACAGAGAAAATGAAGAAAAATGGATGGATCTTTGGACAGAGAAAGAAAAAACAAAAAGAAAAGAGGGCGGGGTCTGGTCACATCTTTACACTGATTGGGTCGGGGCATTTTCAAACACAATAATATCAGAAATATCACAATATATAATAATATTGCCATTAACAGAGATCAATCTGAGAGGTTTATTCAAACCTCCTAAGAATAGAGACTCAGTTGGTGGCAGTCATGCTTCATATTTCAATATCAATGTGCTGGAAAAACAATATTAACCACCAGATTCACCACCTGTTCTAATAGAGCACCATAACACTACACTGATCAAAAATCACAGCATTCGCAGGTACTGAGTATCGGCCTGAGTCGGACACTGATCAGACGCAACAGAACAGAGCCGAGTCGAGTCGAGATGAATAATTCGACCAAAAATCTAAGTTACATGATTATCGTCCCATTTGATTCGTGTCCTAGATGCTAACTGGTGGATGCTAACAGCTAACAGCGTCGCACCAAAGCGTGTTAAAATCACCATAACTGATTAAAAACTGTTGAAAGGAGATTATTTAAAGTGAGGCAAAACGGCGCCAGGATACGGATATTTAGATGCACCGAAATTACACAGTTCTCAAAATGGGGCCACTACATCGTGCAAGTTCTAAAACAGGCCACAACAAAAACGGTCCATTTTTTTCCCACCTGTATAACACATTCTGACGGAAGTCCAGAGAGGCCATGAGCTGTTGCTGTAACTTTCTGGATTGTAATCTTGAGATAAGTTAATTATCTTGATCTCAAGATAATTAACTTGTGATAAGTTGTGATCTTGAAATAATGAGTTATTTATCTTATGTCAAGATAACTATTATCTTGTTCCCAAGATAATTAACTCGTGATCTCAAAAAAAACAACTTTATCTTGACATCAAAAAAATAATGTCAAGGTAATTAACGCATGATGAAGATAAGAGTTGTCTTAAGATCACAAGATAATTAACTCATGATCTTAAAATAACTTATCTTGACATCATGAGTTAATTATCTTGTGATCTTAAGACAACAACTCTTGAGATTACAAGACAATTAACGTGATGTCAAGATAACCTTCTCGAGATAATTAACTAATTATCACAAAATAAATTATCTTGAGATCACAAGAGAATTAACTTGTGATGTTAAGGTAATTAACTCATGAACTTAAGATAACTATCTTGATATCATAGTTAATTGTCTTGTGATCTCAAGACAACAACTCTTGGGATTACAAGACAATTAACTCATGATCTCAGGAAAACAACTTTGTTATCTCAAGATAACAAGGTAATTCACTTATTATTTCAAGACAACAACTTTGTTGTGCTGAGATAACAAGATAATTAACTTGTCATCTCAAGATAACAATCCAGAAAATTCTAAATACTTCATTACCCCTTTGGAATTACATACATTCCTGTTTTTTTGCTTTTAAACACCAAAAACTATTTCACATCCAACCAAAGCAAAACTTTTAATGTACTGACCAGTTATTTCAATCATTTCATGTGACTACAAGTTAATAGCAGATACCAGTTAATGCATACTAAGTAACCAACTGACCGAACCAGGTTGGAATACATGTCTGTTGATTCTTGATGTTTCAAAAATTTTAGCAAACAACAAAACGATCAGAGCGAAAAGATTTTTTTTTTTAGAATTGTGAGTTGTTTTTGGTCGAACTCTTCATTTAATGCTGTACTATGACAGAAAAGGCATTCTGATTTCTGACAGGTGGTCATTTCATAATGCAGTTGTATGAAGAGCTTCATGGACCGGTTAAGAAAGAGGAAGAAAGAGACAAAGTTTTATGCTACATTCCGAAAGATCATCTGAAACTCCTCTTCCTACATCATGTATGAAGCCTCCGCTCTTTTGCTGGTGCCAAACTGCATAGTGCTGTACAGAGAACTGAAGCGAAGCAACAGCAAATTTCCAGCCAAATTATAGTTTCTAGTCACGTCTGTAGTGTAAGGAGAGCCTCCTGTCGATCTCCAATCACTAATATTACAGCCTGATTCCATATATGAAAGCGTTGTGATGCCAAAAAACACAGAAACTGATAGTTAAATATGAGACCCGGCTCATGGGTGAGGGTCAATTCAATAAAACAAGTGATGAAAGCGTCCAGTTTAAATGACTCAAGCCAGGCTGAAGAGCCAATTGACCAATGAGAATCAGCACAAGCAAAACAAACAGAAAAAAACCTGCTGAATAAAAACAGGGAAGATCCGAAAAATCCATGAGTCCCGAGATTGGCACCAAGCCATATTTTCAAAAAATACATGATTTTATGAGCACTTAATCAATGTGAACACAAACAAAGGCAAAATAAAACTGCAACAGAAGCACAAAAGCAGCCCGTTGCCCTTCGGATGGCTCGACGGTAACCAGTTCTAGTTAAGAGGCCTCGACCAATGAGGGAGTCAGGATGGAGAGCCCGCCCCAAAAGTCCCTTCCACCAAATCAGCTGCCACATACTTTTTCGTAACATGTGCAAACATTTACTGGATCAGTTTGATTTTTTTTTTCTCTAAGATAACAGATAAGAATGAAATCACAAAGTGTATCATACAACAGTGAAAAAATATAAATATACTCCATCGTAAAAACAGTCTGCAGTGTGTGTGTCTGTCCGTCCAGACCCGCCGTGTCTATGCTCGGTACAGGCGGGGCCTAAAGACTTGGAAGGGCCAAGATTCATGACTTGGAAGTAGTTAATGCATCTTGGAAGATTTGAGTGAGAAAGAGGGACAGAAAGAGAGAGAGAGAAAAGAAGAAGATTTCAGAAGAAAAGCCAGCTTTGATATGAATTTGAATCCGTATGCATTTTTAATTAATGTGGTTTCCCATGAAAGTGAACAGCAGATGATGAACAGTGGGGAAAGAGAGAGAGATAGAGGAGGAAAAAGAGAGAGAGTGAGAGAACAGCACCATCGTCCTGCTTGCAGCGCAGTGATTTAAACTGATTTAAAGTTGAAAAAAGCACCACGTCGGCAAACGAAGCCTGCCTGCCTGTCACAGGAGAGAGGAGAGGAGAGAAGATGAGCGGAAAAAAAAACAAAGAGAGAAGATTTCTAGATGATCTGGACCAGTATAAGGCTGTTTTGGTTGATGGCGGAGACACGTTTCCATGGAAACCAGAGCGAGACGGGGGCAGCACCATGATCCAGAGTCGTAAACAAAGTCTCATCGACAACTTAAAAAAAAACATAGTTACCTGTACAAAAAAAAACACCAAAAAAAAAAAATCATGACAACAGCTACTAATAATCAAATATAAACAAACAAACAAAAAAATCCCTGCAGTATTGCTGTAGTGAGTCAGTCTGAGGTTGGTAAAAAGGTCAACAAGGTCAGTGCGTCCAGCCCATCAGATGGCTGACCCTGGCTCTTTCGGTCATGCGGCGGACTCTTCCGGAGCGGGACATGCCCAGGTTTAGTGGGTCAGTCGCAGGCCCCTCCTCCTCCGAATCGTCGTTGTATACAACGGTCCGTCGCCCTTGGTTACGAGTGTTTACCCGCCCCGCTTTCGCTGTCCTCTGATTCGCCCTCCCACCTCTAGCTTGCTGCACTTGCGGCGACTGTGGTGTCGCGTCTTCTTCATCCTCCTCAAGCTCCTCATCTTCCTCCTCGGGCTCCTCCTCCTCTTCTGGCTCCTCCTCCTCCTCCTCCTCATCATCCTCCTCCTCCTCTTCCTCTTCCTCGTCCTCCTCCTCGTCACTCGGTGCTGCTTCTTGTATCGGCTCCCTACGCACTCGTTTCAGGTCTGCTGCTTTCCCTCCTCCTGTCCTTTTTCGCTTAGCGTTAGCGCTAGCGGCAAGGTTAGCGGTAGGCGCCGCAGGCGTCTTGCCTTTGCGGCCGAGCGACAGGCGTGGCGCTTTGCTGTAGTCGTGGTCGCCGCCGTCTGGGAAACTGCCGATCTCAGCGTCGCTCGCCTCGCTCTCCGAGGACGACGAGGATGAGGATGACGTAGTAGAGGAGGAAGATGACGATGATGACGTTGACGAAGATTCCGAGCTTTCGGAGTCTGAAGCTTCTTGCTGTCCTGCAAGCGCCACCGTCTGTCTACGTTTGGTCCGTCCGCCGTTAGTGAGCGGCCCGTTGCACTGAGCGTCTGCATACACAAAGAGGTCAAAGGATCAGAGGTCAGCTTAAACTTTGGGTATATGTACAGGTTTATGTGGCTCTTTTGCACGTGTTTGACACCCATGAACGTCTGTAGTAAAGTTTTTTTCTGGATATTTTTCTTCTGTGCCCTATTCACTATACAGTGCACTTTGGGAGTCTGTTGTTTGATGTGCTCTCTGAAAACATCCAATAGCAACAACAATAGCGATTAGGAGCCATTTCTGTTCCCTATAACAGTGTCCAGTGTAGTGCTATATATATATATATATATATATATATATATAGAGAGAGAGAGAGAGAGAGAGAGCTACTGATTTTCCGCTATAGGAAACCATGATTTAGGACCATTTCCAACAAAGCAGTGTTGTCCCTGTCATAGCTCTGTATTTATTTTTATATTTTATACTAATAATACAACCTTATTCTCTGCTCATACTGCTCTTTTGTTATTGTTTACTATCCGGTGTGGACCAGAGGAGGATGGGTTCCCCTTTTGAACCTTGGTTCCTCTCAAGGTTTCTTCCTCTTGCTGTTAGGGAGTTTTTTCTTGCCACTGTCGCCATTGGTGACACTCATGGGGGTTTGGACCCAGATTTTTCTGTAAAACTGCTTTGCAACAACATCTGTTATAAAAAGTGCTATATAAATAAACCTTGACATTTATGTGTATACCTGATTTTCTGGTGGTAGCTCTGCTGCGAGTGACTCTGTTGCTTCCCGGTTGCACTGAGGGTAATGGGGTTGACGTCGATGAGGATGATGACGACGGCTGGCTGTCTTCATCAGACATAGCAGGATTTGAATCTGATGATCAAGAAAAAAACAAACACAGATACAAGAAGATACATTAATAAACATTAACAAATAGCACTTTTGTCAATGTTCACAGGGGCCACATTACAGAATCATCTTAACTCTGACAACTTCAGTTAGAACTGAATTTCGGACAATAGCTATTACAGAATAACAGTTCATAAATTCATAATCTTATCATAACTCCTAACTATCTAACTCCAGATAAGAAAACAGTATCACACAAACATCCTAACTAGACTAAACCTCCTAAATACTGTCCTAACTTTAAGATAAGATGCTGTAAGATAAGATATAATTCTTGAATTAAATAAAGTTGCTTCTGTAATATGAATTTGTAAAAAACCTGGTTGGATCCTAACTTAGCAAGTTTCTGTACGACCCCAGTACGGAAGTGAATCACAGAAAAACAACAGAAACAAACGGATACAACCTTGATAGGGCCGTCGTGAGCGACTCCTGGAGGTCTGCTGGGGGGTTTTAGTTTTCTTCACTGGCTTGTGCTTCCCTTTCGGGCTGCTGAAACACAAACACGGGCACATATTTAATAAAACTCAGTGTAATTTGTGCCTCACAAACAAACCAAACAAACAAACAAACAAAAAAAACAGCTCATATCACCCCAATTCTGTGTCAGTTACACTGTTTTCCTGTCCGGCAACAAATCCAGTTAAGTCCTCCCGCTAACATCCTCTCTGAATGGTCTAACACCAGCCTATTTAGCTGAGCTCCTGCACCCTCTCTGTGACTGTCCCTCACTTTCCTCCTTCAAAGCTCAGCTTCACATCTACCTCTTTTCTCAGCACTTTTACTCTTCTTCTCACTGATGGTTTTTATTTTTTTCCTTCCACTACCTCTGTAAAGCGACCTTGGGTTTGAGAAAGGTGCTATATAAAGTTGAATATATTTTTTTTATTGTTATTAATTGAATAAAAAGAAATATAAAAACAAACAATACTTAAAGAAAATGTGCTCAAAATCAGTTACATCATGTTTTAAGTTTGGAGAGGTGAATGTGTGTCCTCAGTTCATTAGTAACTCCACAGGGAGGTGTAATCTCTCTCTCTCTCGTGTGTGTGTGTGTGTGTGTGTGTGTGTTACCTGTCTGGAAGAGAGTTTTGTAACCTCTTGCTGCAGCTGAGTCTCTGCTGACAGCGTCGCTGGTTCTGAACGGCTGATTTGTAATCGGAGATGATGGGGATGATCTGGTGCTCAAAGGACGCCGACAGACTGAGAGTCATACTGTAGATCTGCAATCACAAACCACATATACACAAAATTAACACAGATTTTAATGCAACAATGGTTTAACACTATATGAAAGACTGCATAGACAGCTATTCTATTAAACTATTATTGTTTCCATCTAAAAATTTTAATTTCTTTTGATCCATATGCTCTCTGAGCTCACCTGAATGCTAATTTGAAAAAAAATTTAGAAAATCTACAAAACCATAAGCGTGTTTACAACTATTTAATTACAATAAAAAAATCATATTTTAGTCACATGGGACTACGGACTGTCAATTAACAAAGATATGAAAATGTAATTAAATTCAAATGATTTGTACATCCAAAGTACAACTTCACAAAATTTCACCACTTTTTTTAATAGATTTCGCACAGAACAGGCATTTTCTAAAAACTGATGTAATTTAAAGCAGTTCACTGCTCATAATGTAGTCTGGAAAGTCTCAAGCGAGACATGAAAGCCTGAACTATCCCTTTAAAGAGCTCAGTATGTTTTTTGCATAAGTCATAATTCATCTTAAAGGGCCTATATCATGCCAATTTTTAGGAGATAAAATTCAAGAAAAATGGACTCTTCAACACGACCAACCTCTCTTTACCCCTCAGAATTAAACAAGCTATCTTACTGTGTCTTTGAGACAGATCTATGTAAATGGGCTCTGTTCTGATTAGCTGCACTGAAATGTGCCTCATTCAAAACGCAGTCCAGGCCGAAACACTCCTTATAGCTTTAGCGGGAATGCTGGGATATGCTGAAAGGGTTGTAATATGTAAATATGTTGGTTAACAAACAAATTCAAACCAGGCTGTTCTTGCTGTTTCCATGTGTGGACTGCATTGACTGGGGAAGGAACAGTACGTCTTGAGACAATTTTTATGTGCTACATTAAAGTTTTTTTTAAAAAAAAGTGAAGAAAAGTCAGTTTCCCATAATACAGACACTGTAAAGTGAAGACGATGCAGTTTGTTGTGCTGCTCTTACCCGGGACTTTTTGTTTGGGGTGTAGGCTTTGGAGTTGCTAAAGATTAGTCTGACGTCTTTGGCGAACTCCATGGGGTTTTCGTAATTCCCTGCCGTCAGAGTCTCTGACACTGTCCCCAGGTCCATTGGAGTATCTATGATGTCTCTGTAGTCCTGGAGACAAAGAGAATTACAACATGATCCCCCATTCACTCTTTATAGAGAGAAAAGGTGCTGAACGATAGAATATTGCAAATTTTTTAACAAAATTTCAAACAAATACTATAATATTTGGGGGAAAAAAAAATAAAACAGAGATTTATAAAGCAATATTTGCATTTTATTTATTTAACCTGATCTGTGAAAATAACACACCTATGAAAAGGCAATTCCACCAGTTTCTCACATTTTCTGCATTACTAAATAGTTAAGATGCAAACAAAGTCGCTCAGAGTGGTTTGGTGTGAAATGCTCTGTTCTAGATAAACTTACTGAGTCAGTGGTGGTGATAGGAACCTAACCTCCACCTCTAAAAGCTCCCTCAAAGAAAGTTATTACATGAAATGTTTATAAATACACTGCCTGATGTCTGAGACATTTACAATAGATTTAAGAAAATTCTGACAAAAAATGTTTTTTATAAATTTTATAAATCATAAATTTTTGGCAGCGAGGTACAAGCAGGTTATTGTAAGCTAAAACACTCCACAAACTCAGAAAACACGTGTAGGTTCACTGGTGGTTTTGGGAAGTAAATAAAATGGCTATATTTGTGTTGTAGACATTGTGAGCTCTTGTTCCTATCACCACCACTGAGTTGGTAAGTTTGTTTAAAATCGCAGTCGTTCAGTTTCTCTACAAATGAACCACTTCAAACCACTCAATGACGAAATAAATAAGATAACTGATTATGATACCGGGTAGATAAAGAGGTCGACGGGTTGGCGGAAGGGCTCGGAGTCTGGACTGGCGATCATTCTCCTCAGCAGCTCCTTGCACTGCCCAAACCACGCCTGCACATCCAGAACCACACCACGCTTCTGAGACTGGACACCAGGAACAGACGGAAAATGGATACGAGAGAGAGGATTCATTATTACCATAAAGTATTTCATGATCAAAATTATGTCCAAACCTGTATGGCTAATAATGTAACTCAATTATGTGTGCATTTACCAAAACATTCTCTTAAACATTTAGAAAAACTGAACATCAACCAGCCATTCAGATGTACTACAGTTTGGAAGAAACACCAAGTGTAAAAATGAACATTTTACAGTGATAAAGGACAGTTGAGTCTAAATGTGTGCAGTAATTCTGCGTGCAGTAACTTATAGTTAGTGAGCTCCTGCAGAGTTTTATCCCAGATCTAATAAGATCCACCTGAATCCTCCATTCAGATGATCCATCAACACAATCTGCTGTGTTACAGTAACGGCTAGCACCATTTCTGACATACTGTTCAGAATGGGAGAATGCAGGAATGCAGTTTTGAACACAGCTTTACAGTGTGCAGTTTAATGTTTTTCACACTCCTAGAGCCGGTTTACCAGCCAAGGACAGCCTAGTCCTGTACTTCACAATAAATAAATAAATAAATAAATAAATAAATGCTTTCATGCTTTTCATATGTAGTGTGTATATGTGGATCATGTTTGAGAGGTAGGCTTTTTTTTTTTAGGTGAGGTTTAAAAGTTTGAATCAGTGTTTTCATTAATACAAACCAATTGTCTAATAATTTGTAGGAAGCCGTACAAAATAAACCAATGTCAGATGTGTCCAAAATTATGACTGTAAAATGAGTGAGAAAGCTGTACATCAAAAATTAAGTTATTACAAAATTAACATCCAGAATGTCTTTGAAAAGTGATCAAATGGCAAGGCAGATAACATAGAAGCAAGACTGTAAATACATTAATATAAACAAATATTTTACAGTATGCATCTTTTCATGACTTCTTGATGTTTCCAAAACTTACTGTGGATACTTAAATTTCTACTGAATAAAATAAACACAGTTATTGATATGACATGTGATTCCACATTTCTGAACGGTGTAGTCAGGAAGTCTACACCTATGACGAGAGGTTTGTCAGCTCTCAGAGAGCACAGGTAGGTAGTTTTTGCTCATTTCAAACTAACCTTTTGACCAGTAGATGTGCCTGGAGTGTCTGAGTCGACCTCAACATCCTCCTAAAAAAAAATAAAATAAATAAAAATGTAAACCTACTTTTACTTTCAAAACAACTTTACTTTTAATGCAAGTCAATGGAACCAGAATTTTGTCATTTTGGGTCATTTCTTTTAGTCCATTCATCATGAAATTTACATACAATGCAAAGGGTAATTTTCAAATTATGTCAAAAACTGAAAAACATAAAAAATGGAGATATGAGGCTCTCTCTCACACACACACACACACACACACACACACACACATACACATACATATATATATATATATATATATATATATATATATATATATATATATGGTTAATTAAGGCTCGTTTAACATTAGTTTGCAGTGCCAGACATGATCTTGAACATCCACAACCAAGAGACATTTTGGCCATATCCGGCCAGGACCGTAGACGTATTTGTGTGGGAACACAATGATTGTGAAATTTTTAAACCAATCCAACACCTTGTGAAGGCGAACCTCAAAGAACGGACGATAGTGCGCTTATCCGGACAACGAACAACAAGCCTGTCACTAAAACATCGATGTAATCCATGTCAGTATGGCTGAAAAGTCCAAGAAAAAGGTCTAAGTATGTATTTGTGAATCACGTGTGCGAAGAACACATTACATTCAGTACAAATAAACATTACTGCTCATTCTGCCAAAGTTCCATTAGCTAAGAAAAGCCTTTGAGTAGCTTGCTTGTTCTGCTTGTGTTATTATCTGCATTCTGGACGTTAAAAGAAGACTCAGGGGGTGGGTTTTAGAGGGGGTGTCCCCTGTTTGTGGCAGATTTCACTGCAACCATCACAAAGTTTAACAGGGAGTCCCCAGACATGTATTCTCACTACAAGAGCACATCTGGCTCCGCGAGACTAGTTTACCACTAGCCATATTCACCTGTTAAATCAATCAATTTAATCAATCAATCGTTCTGTTTAGGGAAGAATTAGAGTGTTTTTTGAAGTCACTAGTAAACACACAATGGTGCACCTAATCTCTCTCTCTCTCACACCCACACGCTCACTCTTACCTCTTCTTCAGCGGCACTGCTGAGCTCTGTCTTGACCTTATTGTACAGATCCAAGATATCAGTACAGCTTTGATCC